TTTATATAGCGGTTTTTTAAGGAATTGTAGTGCGCTTATTTTCGTCCCAGACTCATGATTTGATATCAATCTTTTATTAGATCATTTAGGTACTTGTTTTGCTAACATACAGTTTTTTCGCTTCTATATGATAATAACAGCTTTGAACCGCTCATGTTGCAGGATATTTACTTATGTATTGTTTTTTTCATTAAAACTCCCTTATTTTCTACGTACGTGATGAATAAGTCAAGGTTTTTGCTTCCAACTTGAACTATTCATATCGCATTAAATCCATGTCTTGTTTGGTCAACATACTATTTTTTCAGATGCACTTGTTACTTTTTTTTGAAGTTAGGAATTTTTGCTTGTTTTGCCTACACCGAACCCAAATAAATGTGCATATTAAAACAAACGCTAAAACCCTAAACTCACGTGACTTCGCGCTTCTAGATTTTATGTAGTTCAATTCATTGATGTGCAAGCAACATCCCCACAACTCCTCACTAACTGAGTTGCTAAATTGAAGCGTTTTTCTCTAAATACTGTACATACCGGTCATATATTTTCGTATAAAAAATCCTGAGCAATTTCGTCATTTAGAAACATGTTTTGGAATGTACTGGCCACATGTTCTCCGCTAAATTCTAAAATGTTGCGGCACACACCTATATAGTACAGTAGTAAACGTATGGAGGACGGAATATTCTGAAATTCAGATAGGAAATTCTGAAAGTATCGAGCTTGCATGAATGGAGTCTGATGGTGCGCTCCAAGTCCAAGAGAGGAAAATGGAGATTTTCAATTGAAAAAAAAATATTGCAGATTTCCAGCAATTATTCTAGCTTTTTCTTCGGGCAATTAATTCCCCGAGCGATTCTACTTTCCATCTATTTAACCCAAAAATCCCAATCAACTTGCCGGTCCGCGCATTTTTTGCCTATAAAGTCGCGAAACATGGAAACACACAAAGGAACCTTTTGCGGCCTTCAGATCCTGATGATGGTCGCAAGTAAAACTTGTCTAATGCAGTAAATTGTCGGGTAAAAAGCAAACTCCAGTTCTTGGAACTTTTTGTGCGCAAAATTTGCGCGCGCTCTCCCATTGATTATCTTCATTAAGATAATACGTAAATCGTTAACAATGTACGTCACAGTTTCTGCTGAAATCAATGAAACTTTGGCCCAATATGGTTATTGCTTCAAATGAAATTGAATTTTTGCACTTTATCATACTTGAAATTATATTGGATGAAAACAGGAAATATTCCCAGTGGAGCCCAGGCGGCTGGTGCTTAGCACTGTTTATAGGGAGAGCTCGTTTTTGTAAAAAAAAACCAATATAATAGGAAATTCGACCAATATTATATAATAGTAAATGTAAATGTAAGTGTCTTTTTGGGTATTTCGCCTCAAAAATTTGCTCATTTCTCGGAAGCAAAATGAGCAAGAATGCAAATTTTTACATCATTCTAGAGATAACTATAAGGCCTTTTTAGGAGTCAACCATCTATAAGGAAATGTTGGCAGTTTTCGCAAAAAGTATTGATTTCAAGGAGTTTTAGATTTGCGTGTTTTTTGAGTTGCAAAATCGACCCAAATCGCTGCTTTTTTCAAAGTTTCTCAAGAACCATTTGGGCCACAGAACTCGTTTTAGAGTTTTAGATAGACAATAGAAAATTCAATTCAGTCATAACAACATGAGTGAGTAAATTCGAGTAGTTTACCAAGAAGGCGAAATCTGATTATCATACATTGAGCAGCGGCGGATCGAACTTTCAAGTTGAAAGAACTTCATCATGTAGTAGAAATTCTACTTTATTGTCTATGAACTTAGAAAAACTATCGTTAGTCGACAGAAACCCATCATAAGGAAAAAGCTCAGAACAAAAGTCCCAAAGTGCCTATGCGATACAGTGTGATTTTTATTGCTTTAAAAACGCTTCAGATTACTTTAGTGTATTTTTTACAGTTTATTACGGCAATTATTCTGTTAATTAACTCATATTTCAAATATCCAGGGGCGTATGCATTAATTCTCATAGTTACGATACACCCACTCAAATCGTACATTTTTGTCTCTACACTTTTTTGTGTCTGTCTTCTTTTCCCAGAAAAATACAATGTTCTTCAGGGCGTTTACTAACTGCTTAAGCCACATGAGCTGTTTTTCCTTGTGAAAGGGTTATTCATCTTCATTCAAGTTCTGTATGGTGAAAAGCCTAAAATGCAACCATCGGATTTCTTTTTCCGGAAAATACATTTAAACATTCAAATACATCGATCTCCCAGTGAAAAAGTCGGTTTCATTATTTGTCCGCAATTTATCTCGCTTTTAAATTACATAATTGTTTGTTTAGACACTGAAAGGTTATCGCGCTTCTAATAAACTACAGTCGTAAATGTTCCTTATTAAAAGTAACCATTATTTAGGTCTATTATTAACGGTCTCTTATGACAATTTTTGTTATAGTTCAGATAAAGCAACTTTACTCTAGAGCGAAATTAGCAATTCCTTGAGAAACCTTGCATTGAACTAAAAAAAATCTTTACGCAACTTTATATGATGAACAAATTGTGTTTTTTGCAATTACTTAAATAAAAACAGCAAAACAACTACGTTCTTGCTGGCTGGCATTATTGCTGTTTATTCTTTTTTTCTGTGTGCAATTGTTATATTATTTTCTTTCCTGGGCTCCAGTCACAGTGTGAAACAAAAAGTGTTTGTATATCGTTTATTTCGTTACGTTTCGGCGAGACAACAGCGCCATCATCAGATTTTAAAATTCATTCAAACTCATATTTGGTCTTGAAACCAATTATGAGTTTGAATGAATTTTAAAATCTGATGATGGCGCTGTTGTCTCGCCGAAACGTAACGAAATAAACGATATACAAACATTTTTTGTTTCACACTGTGACTAGAGCCCAGGAAAGAAAATAATATAATGGCTGTTCATTCTCTGAAACACCCTGTATAAGAATACTTCACCCATCTGATAACACTGAGAGCACGAAATGCACATTTAATGTTAAAGGGTTTACAAAAAATACAAATTCATTGCGGAACATTTTCAAGCTAGCGGAAAAAACTTCCGAAAATCAAGATTTATGAGGCAAAAAATCCAATTTATGAACAATTGGTCATCAACGAGTCATTATTAGGGTTCTTGGTGCAAATCACATCACCAAGGCGAGTTGATGGATATTACTGAGCTGGCGGTTAATGGTAGCGGCGCGCAAAACTCGGAGGGAAAAATGAAAAACAACAATAATTGATAAAACAGAAATTGTAATGGAATGTACAAATTATTTATTTTCAACATAATTTTGCTGTTCCCTTCATTACAGAGACCATCCTACGTCGTAACACTCTATAACAAGTAGGATGCCTTTTGTCTTCAAAATCATGTTCTAACGGGTTGTGATTGGGGAAACTATTACGTCACACGAGATAATTAGAAAAAAGCGAGCTTTGTTCCTTAATGACTCGAAACCTTAACAATATGTCTTTTATAAAAGCCAGCTGTGGTTTAGAGAATCGGTTGTTAGACTGAGACAATAGACATCCACGAAGCATCAACATTACATTTTGCTATGAGGTGACTAAAATAAAACAGGAAATATATACCATCTTAATGTTAGTAACGATAAACCGAGTTGAACATACCCGTCCGTTTTCGTTGTTAGGTACAGTTCAACAAAGTTTCCTGACTGAGCTTGGCTACATTATTTAGGAAGCTAACACGTAATAACTATGGACATCAAACCATCAATACATAATGCTGCTATTTATTTACAACAATTATTGTTATAGATAATTGGGGTTCGGAAATAGCCTAGGATGAGAGAGAAAATGACTCGAAGTTGCATTCAAATGTCCAATAATTTTGCGGCTATTCATTTTAGACACCAATTAAACATTAAACTTAAGATAATCTAATACTGCAATGCAAACGATCTTCAAAAGATGGTATAGTATCTGACTCGGTTGGAACTGTTAAGTGGATAAAGTATAGCACAACACATGGGACAAAAAAGAGTAACAATCGGCGGAATCCAACAACTATATGATATGTAGAATGAATGACAATTAAAGAGAACGCCAACCTCTACTAGCTGGGACTCATTGAACACACGAGTCGAAGCACTAGAGGCAATAAAATCGAAATAAACAACTATGTTCGATGAAATTAAAAATAAATTGTGCTATTTTTCAAATTTTATTTAAATAGCGACTCAATAGAGTCGTTTTAAATATATCTCAATACGAAATAAAGAACCTAAGATCTATGGACTATACATTAATTAGATAGAAGTAAACCCTCGCGAAACTGACTAAAAATGATGCGAAATTCTATTTACATTATGATACGGCCAGCAATGACTGATCACTGCCCACCCTATCATAGTTAAATATGCGCGTGGTCACATTCGCTTTGGTGTACAATTTTACATCTCTTTTTACACGACTAGCATTTGAAAGAATTTCTGGATGACCACGGAAGGTTGTTTGACTGTGAAATGGGAAATTGATGGGAGAAGGACCTGAACGTTTTGAAACACCGCAACGAAATCGTACTTAATTCTTGGTGTAAAGGAAAATAGCTACGATCAAACCGTAAAGACCTAATACTTCAGCGAAAATGAGGATCAAAATCATTCCGACGAACAGTCTGGGCTGTTGTGCCGTTCCTCGCACTCCTGCATCTCCCACTATACCGATGGCGAATCCTGCTGCCAAGCCGGAAAATCCCACTGCAAGACCGGCACCCAAATGTAGGAAGCCTCTGAAAACGAAAATCACTCGTTTAGAATCATCGAAACAGATGTGGCTAAATGATACCATTGTTAATTTATTTCATTTCGCCAGTTTTCTATTATTGCGATCAAGTCCTAAAAGTGACCTCAACGCCGACATAATGCGAAAATCATTTGCATTCCCACTTTTTCCATTCAATGCTTTTGTACCGTAATTAATCATTGTCCAATAAATTATTCACGCAATTTAGTCCTATGCGTGACTCTGTTTGGAGAGCAAAACTAGCCAGCTTTGTTTTCAACTGAACGTTTTTTTATGCTCTTTATAATCGCAAAAAAAATGAACTGAAGAGTGGAAATATGTGCCTATAAAATTGCCTGGGCTTACAGATAACATCCTGAGAACAAATACAACTGATTAGCGGCGTTTAGTTCGCTCGGGTGAATAACAAAAGAATTTATAAATAAGCGATAGCAAACGCCAGGGACGAAGTTCAATCACATCCATGTTATCCACAAGCAAACGTCTTTTGGATAACTTCTGAACGTATGCACATGAAACAAGCCACCCTCGTACAGCAAGCGAAAAAGACAGACGCGCATCGCTTTTCTCGCTTCTTTGCACAGTGCCGAAGGCACCCGAACGCCCTCGACGCTGCTCGGGCTGGCCCGCTCTGATACCAGGGGCGTTCAAAACAAACACTTACTTGTAAAGGGTGTAACCGCTGTCGGGTGATGCGATGTTACCCGCAATAAGAATGGCTATGACCAGACCATAAATGGCAATAATACCCGCCATTACAACGGGAATAATACATTTCATGATAAGTTCGGGCCGCATCACCGACATGGCGGCAATTCCGGTTCCTGATTTGGCCGTTCCATATGCAGCCCCCAGAGCTGAAACATAAAAAAAACGTGTTTATAGATCGTCCATCAGTCTGTTGGGTTGGTTCAAAAGTCAAAATAAATATTAAGTAATGGCATAGAAAATCAGATGCCAGTGGGCTAGACAAATATTACAGACATTTGGCGATGCTCCAGCCGTGGGTCATTTGCAGGCCATTAAAAAGAGTCACTCTCATTGTTGAGGTGAAATAGAACATATCCAACTTCAGGTATCACAAATGCCCACTTAAAAACGATTTAGATTTTTTGCATCAAGCAGAAGCAAGACATCAAGTAAATCGCTAGAATTCAAGCTAATTGATAAGCGCCAAAGTTTCCTTCCTGTGTACTTTCCCACAGTGAAGAAACATCATTTTCCTAAAGCTCAGGGTCAATTTTCCTGGTAAAAATTCAGGTAAAACCTATTTTTATCATAAACTCTACCTAAAGTAGTGTTTGTTTATGCTTGAACCAGTTAACTGATGTGCTCCACTAGCAGCAAATCATTATAATGCAAACGCGTTTCAGCCCAAATAAATTAGCTTCGAACTCAATTAAATCACATGCCTTTAACCTGCATGTTGACATCATTGCGGAATCCTTATCTCAGATAAACGACTTATAAAACTGTTCAGAGGATTTAAGTCATGTGAAAACGCTAAGGTGTAACTTTCAGACTGTAATTATTGATAAAGCATGTGATGTTTTACCTTGCCGGAACGACAAATAGATCAAAGAGTCGCACAATTTTTAAATTGGGATTGTTGGGTGGCGAATCAAGCATAGTAAATGCAACTAAGTGGTTGACCAAAATTAAATTCGAACATTTTGACCCTGGATTTAAATAATTAGCAGCATGAACAAGGCAGATAATGGAAATAAGTTAATGAATCAGATGAGGACAATCTGCTAGGAAATGTGCTTTGGAAGCAAATCAACCACCATAAAAGGTTACAACCGGCAATTAATGATTTTGATTAATTATTAGAATATTTGGAAGCCTTTTTAATTCAACTTTACCGCATACTGTATGTTTTAGTTGGCAAGGCATTTAGAAAACTCTAGATTTAAGACTAAAGCCCGTGTCCCATGCATGCGTTTGTACGATGATACGATGGTACGAAAGTGTTTCTATTGGTTGCAGATCTGTCAATTCGTCCCTCGTCGTACGATTGACAGATCTCCAACCAATAGAAACACTTTCGTACCATCCTATGATCTGTCAATTCGTACGACGGCGGACGAATTGACAGATCTCCAACCAATAGAAACACTTTCGTGTCATCGTACAAACGGATGCATGGGACAAGGCCTTAAGACATGGAAAACAATTAATTAACAGCAAGTTTAAGAGTAAAAACTGTATGTCAGGTTAATTCCGCAAGACCATTAGCACGAATATTAATAAAAATTCCAGAGCGATTGAAGAAACAATACTAAAAAGTAAAATTAAAATTAAATTTATAGGTCCGGGCAAATGTGGCAAATCTCTTGGATATGAAGTCACGTGAAAAGAACACTAGAAGTTCATTAAAAAAAATTTCATCATATGAACCTGTAGTAGTCTTTTCACGTGTTTTTCTATATCCAAGTGATTTGCCCAATTGTCCAGACACTCTGTACATAAAACTGTTAATATCAGATCGAAGCAAAGTTACTTATAATGAACCAGACTCTCTGAGCTCCTGTTGAGGATGCGGTGAACAGTGTAAGCCATGAAACCGAAGAAGTTGAGAAAACTTTTCATGCCGATCATTCTTAATTCTAAATCACATGAGCATCAGCTGATTCCAACATAACAGTCTCAAGCCTTGAACATGCAAATTTGAGGGTTTTTTGGGGTTTTTGGGGGCTTTCCAATGCCCCCATTGGGACGAAAACGTTCATACCAGGCAGCCCTTGATGCAAGCGAAGGACTAATGAATGAATGATGAGCAGGGACACTCCCATTTTCTACACATGTGACCTGCTTAACATTTCCCAATGCATTTTAAGGACATTATTAGCGATAAAACGCTGCCTAGTAGCGGGTTGGTTAAAAACGCAGTCAATTAGGCCAGCTAGTTACCAAGTGGCATCACAAGGGCCGGGATTTTGCAAGCAAATTCATGTAAAAAAGCCCCCAACAACCAGTGAAAACTTTCTCTAGAAGCTAAAGTGCTGAACGTGATGATGGTGATTGATTGCATTGATGCTTAAAAGGATTGCATGTGACCAGAATGAACCTTGAAGTCCCATGACTTGACCAAAGTGGTTCAGTCATGTGCTTCGCTATGGTACTCCTTTGCAGAAATTTAAGGCTTTTTCCCTGGTGCCGGCAACAAGCTGATCGATTTGGTGAGGCCAGAAATCAAGATTTTACGACGATAAGTGCAAAGTGAAGAGGCAATCGAAATTCGTCAGCTACCCAAGTGTAATTCGAGAGGAGGAGGCCTTTGAAAAGTGGAGAAACATGAATGTAAATACTCGATTTTGAGTATCAGGCACTAGAACAGCATTGTGCTATCCAAGTGTTACCAGCAATTAAATGCCAGTTTGAACAGGAGGGCCACTTGAGGCTCCTAAAAACGTTCATTGAGTAGTTAATCAAGTGCCAAGACAGCCACAGAGTGGTTTCAGGGGGTTCAGGGTGGGTCTAGATGAGGCATGTGACACATCCAATTAGGTCAATACTTCAACAGCAGCAGAATTCGAAGAAAATTGGATTAGTGCAATTGGCCGAATGGCAGCTGAGGCAGAAGAATTGATTTTTGAGCCGACAAAGGCTGAATGTGTGTGTAATCTTGGCATATGACCCGCGCTACGCCCATGAATAGATTCCAGCCTAAACGCGAATTCCCAGGCAAAATCGACAGGGAAAATCACTGAAATGCATTCGGGGGACTCTGGGGAAGGCATCCAAGCCATCCAATGCGTCTAGTTGAGGGAAATGAATAGGTTTTGATGGGAAAAAGCCAATCCAAAACAGAAATCGATAACGTAGCGGCAGGACTACGGAATTATACATACCACTGAAAATAATTGCTGACGCTGCTCCCATAACTCCAAAGAATGGTCCGTAGACGGGGTTGGTTTCAGTTAGTTCGGACGACATGGTGTTAGTTTAATTGCAGAGTATTTACAGGTCAGAACGAGCTAAAAAGGTGCACAACACAGCACGGAACCAGCGAACCCACTGACAAATATGGCTTACTCGACTGCCACTAGCAAGAATGGGTCATATGACGATAAGAAAATTTTCAGGTGGAGTGTCACTGAATCCCGCCTTCTCATTGGTCGGTTTTAATTTTGAGGATACTTGTCGACCAATCGCGCGCCGTGTTGAGCCGATAAATGGTGATGTCAGGGCTCTACGTCAAAGCAACTAGGCGTTATTCCTCATGATCGAATTAAAATACCATTCGATAAATTGTTGGATAAATTGTGAAAGACGAAAATTATATAAGCGCATTGATCAGCTACAGTTTACACAGCGGCAAAGTCACTTTTGTGAATCATATGACAGCTGGTCAGCCCGATTTCCGCTTGAGGTTTGCCGCGGGAAATTCAAATTTACCTTTGCATTTAAATTACAAGCTCCATGCATTGAGAAAAGCTCAAAAACATTTTTTCATTCGCATATTCATTCCATTGAAGCCTTCGCCATGTAAGTAAGCACTTAAAGACCGGACCTGAAGTAGATATATCTCAAACCGTAATCTTTCAAGAGCCCCAAATCGTTGATTTAATGGAAAATAGCATTTTCGTTGACTCCCAAGAGTGCTGAAAATCGGCCAAAATGGGCCATTTGGGTGGGTTGAATCGTGAAACCAGTTTCAGTGGAAATATTCCATGCCTGGCGATAATTAAATTACCTTTTACACACTTTTGATCGCTGGCTGATGATCATAAATCAAAACAAATTCAAGGATTTTCATTATATAATTCAAGCGACAAGCAATTGGGTATCCACTGTAAAATTATAAAATTTCTGATTTATACAGAGGACTGATAAGTAACTCGAATAGTTATTTCAAAAATTTATTTACAGCTTGAGACGAATAATTGCTTGCAGATTTTCATACCCGAGCAGTGCACAGAGAAGCATAAAAAATCTTCAATATTCAACCAATTCTTCAACTATTCAATCAGAATAGCATTGCAATCAGGCATCAGCCCCTCAAGAGCTTGCAGCTGCTTTGAAAAATTTCCGTTAATTTCAGTCGCCATTCATCTTCAATGAATCGCTATTATCTTCTAATGACGTACCCACTTTAAATAATTGTTTCATTGTTTATCTAGATATTGCGTATTAACGCCAAGCAATAAATTTCTACGAAAAAATAGGCAAGGCCACTAAAGCCTTTTGCAGCCCTCGGTGTTGGCAACAAATAAAAAAACCACATTAAACAAGCTTTATTTTTATATACAAAACAGTCCAGAATCAATCAGTGCTTATCTAATGCTTTGACCAGCAAATCGTTCATAGATGTGAGCAACATTCTTGGATCATCCACTAGTCCAGCGCCTACCATTGAATTAGCGAATAACTAAAAAAGTAAATTCAATTAATCCATTAATTTATACAGGGTGTCCCAAACATGCTATGCCACGTTAGGATAGCGGTTTTTTTAAATATTTAGCCCCAAACTTCTGTACCATTAGGCAAAACGGCAATTTAAAAGCCTTTTCGGAAAGTCCATGGTGTTAGACAAAAAATTGGCGCCTTGACTAAACACTTTAGTTTTAGCCGTTTAGAAGATCAGTGGTATTTCGTGAACAATTTGAGACGAACAAAAAATGTTTCTATTTTATCTCACCTGATTGGCAAGCAGCTCTGCAAGCTCGGGATCACTGCTCTTCAATTTGAACAATTTTTTAATTATGGGATGCCTAAAAATGATAGTTTATTCGTTTTTTCTATTACCACATTGTTGTTTGTCTGTTTTATAATCAAACCGTAAGCTTTCGTTGAAAAAGAGACAGCAAAACGAAGAACGCAATTTAATCACCTCGGGTTTATTTCAAGTTGCGGCTGCAAAATGGCATATCTTCTATCCTCAGGCAATCCGTGGCTCTGCGTCCTTATAAAATGCCTTGCAGCAGCCATTTCCTCCACAGTGACCACGCAAGGATGACTTTCAAGTCGCGTGGTTGCATTCACCGATGTCACTTTCCCGGATAACTTCTCTTTAATCCATTCTGCCAGATCATTGATTTCGCTACGCCTTAAACTATCTTCGCCTGGAATTAAACGGTGATTACCCAACGAGTAAACTTGATCATCGCATCATTTACCAAGGTTTGTAAGATCATTCGCCGCTTTGTCGTCTCTCATGTCTTTCTCCACTGAAATCAACCGATACCCTTGGAATTGCTGCAGTTGCATCAAAACCAGCTCATCGTAAGGCTCATAACAGAACAAAACCTCCTGCTTTTTCTTTTTGAGGGACTCATAGTAGGGTGAGGATTCGGCCAAAGTTCGGCTGCAAAATGCGCAATTTTCCCAATTAGCTCATTCAAAGTTGGGATATTTAACCCACCTGGGGGCTGCCAAGTAAAATATGTTGCGATCTTCTGTGGCTCTTGCCATGTAGTCGGACAAAGTAATTTTTTTGCCAGACTCCAAAAGCGAGGATTCAAACAACAGCAATTTTGCGGCGTCTTCCTGCAAAAATTAAACCATACAGTCTGTCTGTAAATTTGAATTGAGTGGCTACCGACCTTTTCCGTTTGGATGTGATTTGTGATAATGCCTTCTTTGATAAAAATTCCGTAATCGTGATAGAACTTTTCATAGTTTGCCTGATCTTTCTTCAGTTGATCCAGCAGGAACTTGCTGATTCTTCCAGTGAGCACATCGCGCAGTTTCCTAAATTCATAACCGTTTTTAGCTTTATCAACACAAAGGTTAATGGACATACTTTATGAGGTTGCTGTTCTGCAACAGCTCCCTGCTTAAGTTAAGGGGAATGTCCTCGGAATCTACTACACCCTTAACGAATCGCAACCACTTTGGTAAAATATTGTCAGTTTTGTTCTTGATTAAAACCTTTTTCGTATACAGTGCCACCCCCGACTCGATCTCCCTGGACATCTCGAAGAGCCCTAGAAAAACCCCGCTTTTGTTAAGAACCAAACAAAAAGAACTGCAATGTTCCACCTGGTTTTCCTTCAGGCACATACAGCAAAGCCGCTATGGACAGCGGCACATCAGTCTTATAGTGTAGCGTGTATCTTGGCACATCGTAGCTGCCGCTAATATACTTATAAAAGTCAATGTGTTGGTGTGGAGTGACAGTCTTGGGGTCCTGCATCCATAAGGGCTGCACGATGTTGGCCTTTTTCCCATTGAGGTAAATGGGGCTGCCCACAAAGTTGCTGTATTTCGTAATGATGTTTTTAATTGTGTCTTCGTCAGAAAATTCCCTACAGTCGGCTTTCAGGTGCAGGATGATTTTCGTGCCCATTGCTACACCATCGGCGGGTTGGATTTCATAATTTCCAGTGCTGGAACAAAAAATGCCATTTGAATCATTGCGCCTTCACCAAATTGTCCATGTACATAACACGTTAAAGCCAGTTGAAGTTTGAGTGTGGCCTACATACCCATCTGAGGTCCATTTCCAACCCTGTGCTTCTCCAGAGCTCCGAGTGTAAACGTCTACTTTGTCAGCGACCATAAAGGCGCTGTAAAACCCAACGCCGAACTGCCCAATTATGTTATTGTCACCTGCAGCCGGTTTCTCCTTGGCTTGTTCAATGAAGGCCTGAAATATTTATCTATTGTAGTGCCTCTAGACGAAAATCACTCGGAGAACCTTTGATCCAGATTTCGCGATGATTCCCAAGTTTTGAGTGAGTTCTTCTTTGGTCATCCCAATGCCTGTGTCCTAAAAACCCACAAATTCACAAACTATTCCATGAAACGAGATTATTAGGGACTGACCTGGATGGTGAATGTCCTGGCGTTCTTATCCGTCGATATATGGATCTCGAGAATTCGTTCCTTGTCCTGGATTTGGGCCCCATCCTCGGACAGGGACACATATTTGAACTTCTCCAAAGCATCACTAGCGTTTGAGATCAGCTCCCTTATAAACACCTCCTTTTCTGAGTACAAGGATCTGGCTACAATGTCAAGCAGCATTCGGGTTTCAGCTTGGAACTCATGCTTTGTACTTTCACCTAGAAGACGAAACGTTTTATGGGCAAACCTACGAGAAGCTTGACGTTCTTTTCCAGGCAGTGTCTCTTACCAATTGGCTTCTCTGTGTCTTTTATGATGGAATGATAGTCGTCGTCTGTGCGTTGGGGCTCTGTGTGTTGAAATCTCACGTGATTCAAGCAACCTGAAGTGAATGTGAATTAAATATTGCAAGTGAATAGCGAATCATTGCATATTAGGGCTTGTGACTAGGCGCATTAGGCCTTAAGGGAGTTCACTGATCTGTTGGAACAGAAATATCAAGAGTTGCACGACAACGAACAACCGAGTTGTATGTTTGCAGTAACTTTCCAGACGTAGACGTATTTTAGTTACTACCTGCTTAAAGTTATTCAGTTTTTTCAGTCTTTAATCCACCTTACCTCCATGTCTATCCAGTGAGAGTTTCGCTCTATTTAGAACATTGCCGGAAGATTTGATGGTGGTTCTTCTAAGTGCCAGCCGGGCAACTCTTGACACCGAGCAAATCATTTCTTAGTTTCTAATTTTAATGGAAAACACCAAGCGGAAAGTTTCACCGATTTTTTAAAATTTTCCTTATTCTTAACCTCAAAATTTGTTTGTAACCTCAATGACTTTGAAGTTTTCTGTCCTTGCGGTGATGTTTGTATTGTATCGCCTAGCAACTGCCCACTAGATGGCTATAGTAATATTAATGCGGTTAAATGCAGTTTAAACAGGTAACATTTTGCCGGTATTTTTCACTTCAATGCAGAAACTTAATGGGTTTATTAAAACTAGTAAGTTTTTTTAGCTTTTTCGGCCATTTTTTGCGCTCATGACGGCTATTTTCGTCAAAAAACGCGATTTTTTATTACGTTGTTCTTGACGTTTTTTGTGCCAACTTTAGAACCCACCAGAGACAAACTTGTCTCTTGTAACCTTAATGTCTTTGAAGTTTCCTGTCCTTGCGGCAATGTTTGTATTGTATCGCCTAGCAACTGCCCACCAGATGTCTATAGTAATATTAGTGGGGTTAAATGCAGTTTAAACAGGTAAAATTTTGCCGGTATTTTCCATTTCAATGCAGAAACTTAATTGTTTTCTTAAAACTGGTAATTTTTTTTMWARCTTTTTCGGCCATTTTTTGCGCTCATGACGGCTATTTTCGTCAAAAAACGCGAYTTTTWWTTACGTTGTTCTTGACGTTTTTTGTGCCARCTTTAGCTTTGAATATAAAACTAACTATAAGTTTTTTGGCTTTTTCGGCCATKTTTTGCGCTCAGGACGGCTATTTTTGTAAAAAAAAAACGCGTTTTTTTATTARGTTATTCTTGACGTTTTTTGKGTCAAMTTTAGAACCCACCAGAGACAMACTTGTCYCTTGTAACCTCAATGTCTTTGAAGTTTCCCGTCCTTGCGGCAATGTTTGTATTGTATCGCCTAGCAACTGCCCACCAGATGTCTATAGTAATATTAATGCGATTAAATGCAGTTTAAACAGATAAAATTTTACCGGTATCTTCCATTTCAATGCAGAAACATAATGATTTTCTTAAAACTGATAAGTTTTTTTTAGCATTTTCAGCCATTTTTTGCGCTCATGACGGCTATTTTCGTCAAAAAAACGCGATTTTTTATTACGTTGTTATTGACGTTTTTTGTGTCAAGTTTAGATCCCACCAGAGACAAGTACTTGTCTCTTGTAACCTCAATATCTTTGAAGTTTCCTGTCTTTGCGGCAATGTTTGTATTGTAGCGCCTAGCAACTGCCCACCAGATGTCTATAGTAATATTAATGCGGTTAAATGCAGTTTAAACAGGTAAAATTTTGCCGATATTTTCCATTTCGATGCAGAAACTTAATGGTTTTCTTAAAACTGGTAAGTTTTTTTAGCAGTTTCTGCCATTTTTTACGCTCAGGACGGCTATTCTTATAAAAAACGCGTTTTTTTATAAAGTTATTCTTGACATTTTTTGTGTGAACTTTAGAATCCACTAGTACCAGCAGCTAAATGATTTAGAATTAAAATATTCCGGTTGGGTTTCAAAAAGTTCTTTCTTCGGATCCCGCAACTTTCGTCACGATTATAGGACTAGACAAGACTTCTTCTATATTGGATTAAAAAAATGTTGAATATTGTTTGACTTTTTGAAGTTTTCTTAATCAAAAACTGATTTAAACATTCAATATCAAACATCAGACGCGCTCTGGCAGACTGGTTTGTGCAACTGAACCATCCGCATCGATCCGAACCTCCAGAAGTTTAATCCTTTAGGAATCCGGCAACTTAAAGAGGTGTCGATTCAGAATAAAGCCCTGTTCGCTGCTAAGAATGAAACCTATATTTTCGGTACAAGTAACACATAAAATCGCGCCGAAGAAAGGATTCTGACAACGTTGTGACTGATATTTATTCGCCTGACTTAAGCCAAAAGGCCACAATCTCGGTTTTTGTACGGGCTGAGGCATTCAAAGGATTATTCGGGCCTCAAAGTAATGATGGACACGCCGCGACAACAATGAATTTTCATTCATCTTTTGCGGCATCTTTGTGGTAAACCGATTTGTAATCCGGCGCATAAAAGTTTGTTTGTTGTTGGTAACTCGATCCTAACTATAAATGCTTTTTAACACTTTCTGCGGCACTTTTAACAGCGCCAAAGACATTTTGCATTTCAACTTCTATTTGGTTTATTTAATAAATCTCTAACAATGAAGTAAAGGCAACAATTTATTTTTGAAGCAAAGAACAAAAAACGGCAAACGAAGTTGGGCTTTACTGTGGAAGCAACTATTAGAAACACTCTGTATACTTAGACAGTGGGTATAGAAAAAATAGTCATTGCGCCAAATTATGAAAAATTGTAGCCAAACGGCAGCTGCAGCCGATGAGAAAAAAACGGGGGAAAAATCTATTATACCCCTTAAATCCCGAAATAAGGTACTTTTATTCAAATCGCATTCAAATCAATGCCGGACTCTCGTCTATTGCAGAAATTTCGCTACCCTCTCTTTATGGTGCAAATTGTAAGGGTGAAGTTTATAGGGTTTATGCATAAGGGTTTCTCTGCGGACCAAAAGCGATTTTTAACGGGCAAAATGAGAAATTTTCAAATAAAACATTTCGCTTTTGCTGGTCGGGCAAAATAAGTGTGGCTTTAAGTTTGTCTTTAAACTGACCTGTTAGAGTTAAGAATATTAAAGAGGTTTAAGGATTAGAGAGTAGATTGTAGTCGTAAAAAATGCACTTTAGTGGAGTCGTTTGCTAATTTAAAATTTACAACGAAGTAGGTACGATTTCGTTATCAAAGAGTTATTAAGAAATATGCTTCCTACTTACATTTTGATTCAAAATTCGGTCTTTATTGGGAAATAACAGAACTAATTATTAATGCTTAACAATAGACGCAAAGAAATTCCTTCAAAAACGGAGGGAAAAAACTTCAAAGACAAAGACAAAACACTTTGAACCAAAACACCCAACAAAAAGATTTTGATTCTGCCTCAATCATATAGAATTGATGAAAAAGGCATGTTTTGTATTTTTGATTTTATTTTTTACT